ACAAAGTATGTAATAGAGGTGAAAATTTCCACTTAATAAAGTTATTATTCTTTTTTCTCTCTTTTCCCCTTTTTTAAAGTAAAAACGTGAATCTTTTTCGCTTTTTTCTTTTCTTTTTTCCTCTCTCTTAAATATAAAGTCATAATATAAATAATTAAATAAATAAATAAACGAACGATAATTCTATAAAGGAAAGTCAGTTTATCAGATAGTTTCCCTTATTGTTTAACATGAAGAGATTAGAATAATCTACATGGCATACCGACAATTACACATGTTAACATACAACAAAAGGAAATTGTTCATACTTGTTAATGATGATGATGGTGGTGATGGTAAATATCCATCCTTTCTTTATCGGTCTTTACGATTATTATTATTATTATTATTATTATTATTATTATCATTATTGTGTTAAATGGCGTTTATTTTAATTGACAGCTGACGTTTCAATCATAAATATACACACAATGGGGTGTGAAAATATATTTCAATTATGTAACAATTGACAGTTGTCTTAATAAGAGCAATGAAAAATATAAGGAATACCAATAATAATAGTAATAAGAATAAAATATGAAAAACATTAATTTAAGTGTGTATAGAGGTTCATAGATAGAGGAATGGATGAACTGATGAATAGATGAGGGAATGAATGGATTGAGAGAATATTTTCCAATATTGAAAGTTTTACTTAGTTGAGTGGATTGTACTATAAAGAAAATAATTTTAATTGATGAACTTCATCTTTGTAGAAATTTTCCGACATAATGAAATTGTAGACTTTTCTATTGGGGAATCAAATAAATAAATATGCATTCATTAATCACGGTTGCGGGATTCGTATACAGGACCTATCGGTCTAGTGAGCTAACGCTCAATCTCTAAACTATTTAGCCGGTCTTCAAATGGAAATATGAATGAAAATTGTTCAGAAAGGGGTTTCATGGAGATTATAATAATTTAATAGGTGAACTAATGAGTCAATTAAAGTTAGACCACTACAGAAAACGTGGAAGCATTGTACGGTGGTGCGTATCCACGATCTCGCTCAAGGGATTCGAACCCAGGATCTATTGGTTTCTCATTGAAGACAATAATAGACGGTGGCGCAATTTCGTGGATTGGTCGAAGTTAGACAATAACACCGGTGAATGCCGGCTCAGTGGTCTACAGGTTAAGCGTTCACGCGCGAGACCGAAGGTCTTGGGTTGAATTATCATTTGCGATATCGTGGATACGCACTGCTGAGGAGTCCCTTAATAGGACGAAACAGATGTTCAATGCTTTTACGTTTTCTATGGTGGTCTAGCTTTAATTGACTCATGATTTCAACTATTAAATTACTATAATATCCACAAAACCCCCTTTAAATAAATGTATAATAATAATAATACCAATGTCTTCCAATGATTACTTTAGAAATAAATCCTGGACATTTTAATCAGAAGTTTTAATTGAGAAAATTCAATCATGTCAATAGAGTGACTTAGGTATCACTGATGTAATTGAAAAATTTTGATAGTTTAAATTCACTTGGTGTTGTTTTACTTGTACCTTACCATTGATACATGTAAAACAACACCAAATGAATTTAAACTCCACCCCATCGCACAAAGCTAGTGGCCCTCAGGACTCAGTAGCTAAGTGGATGGTATTTTAAGTGAACGATACTGGGTTCGAGTCCCAGAGTGAGCATCAACTCTGGGATGCAGGTGAATCCAGCTGACGAGTCCCAAATAGGACGAAACGCGCACCTGGATTCCACTGATAGCCACTATCTATCTTTGTTGATAGTTTGTTGTAAATTGGATAAAACTTTTAAAAATGAACTTTTGAAATATAATTCAACGATCTAATATTATCATATCAAGCTTGTGGTTTATACTTTCAAGATTTAGTCTACTACTTTATCAGTCAGTCAATTATAAACAGCTTAAAATCCGACACAAATATGAGTCGGCCCACGTTTTTATACCAAAACAAGACAATTAGATGAATAGCGAAAAAGTTCTATTAATGTAGTGAAAATAATAATGAGAAAGGGTGAATGGTAAGAATATGGTACGAAACTCAAGATATAAGAAAAATTAAAGAGTAAACCTGCCTGCTTTATTATGACAGATTTCGAGCCATATCCTCCAATTCATCCAACCATTCATTGCGGTTATCAGCTCTATCTTAAGCAGATAGTCTGAATCTATCTATCAATATAGCTTCAAACCAATGGTGTACATGGGCTCCAGTTTCCTAAGAAAAAAAATGGCGTATGAACCAATCGTTGGTCACCGACCGCCATGGGACTACATCTCCTTACGTTGCTCCACTATCATGTGGATTAGACTTTTAGGTCAAAGGCTCGAGGTGTGGCCCCTTAAGAATATCACCTGCTTTGGTTTGAGCAGCCGGGTAGTATCCCAGCCTTTACAAAAATCGAATGATTTATGTGACGCATATCTATTTGGAGCTCTCTTATACCTCTGTTTATGTGTTTAAATAATAAATAATAATAATAATAATAATTCAAGAATCCTTCGTAGATAGATAGATTAATGAAATTTCTAACAAAAATTCAACATGCGGTATCTTGGATGTAATTGGTTTGTCTATGAATTATTGTCTCACTCCTTGTTTAGATTAATAATAAACTTTAATTATAAAAAAAAACACTCATTACATCATTAGAAGTATGGGTTAGGTATATTTCCTTGTTGATAATTAGGGCTAATTCTAAGACTATTCTTTGTTGGTATATAATTAAAGTAAAAGAAATACTAGCAGTTCAATTTCCTTCCTCAAACTGTAGTACAAAAGTGGATAAGTTTAGATATCTGTAAACTGCTTATACTAATCGATATCGGTCTCTAGCTGAAAAGGAATGATTATGACATACGATCTCAATAACACTAATTACTAATCAATTCCATCATTTATGGAGCCAAAGTTGATTCAGTTAACATTTTTGTTGTTAATAACAACATCAAACCGATTCTAAGTTGTGGTCTAAACATTCTTGTGGGCAGTTGATTGAATCTGACGTGAGTGTCCTTTGTAGCTTCATCTTTTGGCCCTGTATGACGTGTTGGAATGAAGAATAGCTGAGCAAAGTGGAATAAAAATGGTACATCTAATGATAACAGATACACATTACACGATCCGTGAATACCAACAGGTCGTAGAAAACCAAAAGATGAAGCTACAAAGGACATTCACGTCAGAACACTTGGAAATCTTAACATTGGCTATCGAAATACCATGCCGTACATCCTTGTTTACTTTCTAAATAAGTGATAGTTATTTAATAAACACGATATTTACTACTAATTAATGAGTGTAATAAAAACGATTTAGTATAAGAGGTTTGTAAAGATTGTTCAATTTTTAGTTTATATCAAAGTACGTCACTAATCACAAACTATAACCAATTACCGTTTGAATGTAATCAAATGCTTTGGAAGAGTATGAGAGTTAAGATAAAATTCTAAAAAGTTAAATGAAAACACGTTTATATGCTTACTATAAGTAACCCTAGTACGATGCAAACTAGAAAAACATTCTCAACACATAGACCACTATTTGAAAAGCTAATAAGCACTGTTGGAAAGATTTCAAAGAACAGCTATTCTGGAGACGGTCAACCTGTATTGCAATGAATGACTTCGTAAGTGAAATTGCTTTAAATTATTCTATCATAGATTAAGAGATGAATTAATTATGATATAATAATAATCTTTGATCTCTTATATCTTCAATTATTCTTGAATCTGGGATAAAACAACTCAGAAGAAATAATAATAAAGTTCAGAATTCAAAAAATAAACTGTATACTGGTTATGTTTATATTTGTTCTACTAAGTAATCTATTCACTGAGACTTACTTTATGGATGTGAAACATGGCCGGTAAGAGTAGAGGACATTCGTAGGTTACTAGTATTCGATCATAGGTGTCTTCGAAGCATTGCTCGTACATCCTAGGACCACCGAGTAAGTAACGCAGTTGTTAGGAAATGGGTACTAGTTAAGGATGGCAAATCAGTGGATGATGTAGTGAAACTTCACCAGTTGAGATGGCTGGGATATGTGTTACGTATGTCCAACCACCGACTGCCACGACGTGCAATGTTTTATGGTGTAGGAGTAAGTTGGAAGAAAGCTAGGGGCGGCCAGACCAAAACATGGCACAAATCCATGAAGCCACTGACAAGCGGGTTGAGTCATGTTGGCAGATGTAGACGAATGACTGGTTCTCAGCACAGTGGTCTGAAGGTGATTTGCTCTCTGTACTATCTAGGTTCGAGCTTAATTGAGATCTTGGTACTTCTGGGAAAAAACCGTTACCCAATACTCATTATATATGGTTTATTTATTGCTTTGAAGTAGGATTCCACTTAGATTAATCTTACTTACTAGAAATTATTTTAATTGAACCCTCCTGAAATAAGCAGGACAACAACTGCTTAGGAAAAAATATATCAATTTAAATAACATCATGATGTTATTGGTAGTATATCCCATTAATTTGTTCAATGAATCTTTTGTCTATTGTTTACTTAAATCTTTACATTGATGTTTAGGACTGAAATTGATCAGTCTCTTATTGGTATATGTGCATCTTATGCGTATCGCCCAGACATTGCATTAATTTACAAGCATCATAAGCAGAGATGGATAGTGGCTAGTAGTGAGATCCAGGACACGCATTTCCTCCTATTCTGGAACGTAAAGTTGCAGATGATAACTCATTATTTTCATATATTGGCTCATTTTGTGATGAATGATTGACAAATTCTGAATTGGAATTACAAACATCAGCAATTGATGTAAGGGATGGTTGAATAGAAGAACTAATATAACTTTCGAATTTAGTATTGAAAAGAGTTTCTGTCATAAAAAAATATAGTAGAATAAAGATAAAGATAAACCCATCTTTTATTTCAGTAAAAAGAAAAGCACACAAAAAACAATTTCAATCAATTCAAATGACAAAACTGAAGTTTTTGATTGAGATCATGAACTGATTGATGTTAGACCATCATGGAAAACCTAGAGGCTAAGAGTTCGCTCGCGAGACTGAGGACCATGGGTTCGAATCCCGCGAGCGAGATCGTGCATGCGCACTGTTGAAGAATCCCACAATAGGACGGAACGGTCGTTCAATGCTTCCAGGTTTTCCAATGATGGTCTAGCTTTAATTGATTTATGAATTTAACTATTGCAATAATTTAATGCCAATTAAGGAATTAAAGAAATTAACTATAAATTAAAATCACCAATGAAAAGAATTATATAATTCCGTTAAATTTACATTATGATTGGCTATCTTTATTTACTTATTATCATTATTATATCTGAATGAAATTAGGTATAGAATTTTCATATCTTTTATAACTGTGTTTTATTCCTATCCCCTAATACATAAATAAATTTTAAATTATTGGTTAAAAAAAGAAAAAAACCTACAGAAAATTTTTTAATACACTAGAATAAGGAGTGATGGGTGGGTGGGTGGTAAATGAGAGAAGAAGCGCAAACATTTTAAGCCAATCAACATTCGATTAGCTAAATTTACTAAAAAATTTTAATCGAAAAACGATAGATAGGTAGAAAGAAAAAAAAGAAAAAAAACCCTAGTGGGTAACAAAAATTAATTTTTTATTATTATTTAATTAATTTTCCTTCATTTTCATTTCCTTTCTTTTTTTTGTTTTTATTTTTATTAATCAAACAATCGTTAAAAATATTCTGAATATACATTGAATATGATACAGCAACACGATTCAGATACTAAACATTTACCATTCACAATACATACTCTATTAGAACTTAATAATCATAGTAATAATCATAATAATACTACTTTGAATAATCAATCAAGTAATGAAACAAAACAATTACCTTTAGAGAAACATTTACAAAAAACTTTCACAAAAAATGGTACTACTCATCAATCAACAAAACAATCAATGTCAACAATCAGTGATATAAAACAAAGTCAAAATTCTATAAATTCTAATTGGATACCAAGTAAATTAGATGAAAAATTATTTTTACAATTATTTAAAAATGTTTATTTTTCACAAATTCAATTACCATTAAATATTAACACTACTATTACTACTAATAATACTACTAGTAATAGTAGTCATGACAACTATATGAATTATGGTATTCCTAGTATTAATAATATTGTAAATTATTTACAAACAGATCATTGGTCACAATTATTAAATCTTACAACACATAATTCACTATCTTATCCAATTCAATCATCATCATCATCATCATCGTCATCATTCAAAGATCAATCTGATATAATTAGATCTACATTAAAACATTTGAATCCTGATCATTTACAATCTAAGTGTACATTTTCATCAAATAGTCAATACAAAGAGGATGTTATTCAGAAAAGTAAGTTTTTGATACTTTATTTATATCATGCATATATAGATAGGGTTTTTTCTATGCTAAAATGTTTTCATTCTGACTATATTATTGACAATATTTATTGAAGAACTATGAATGGATCTGTAACTGATCATTCTACTGGAACTGTGTACGACTTTATTTATTTAAACACATAAACATTAGTACAAGGAGGCACCAAATAGATATGTATCACATAAATCATTCGATTTATATGGGGGCTGGGACACTGCCCAGGTGCCCAAATTGAAGCAGACACGATAGTATCATAGTGATTTATATTAGGACATGTGATCAGTTACATTCTTGAACTTGAGTTTTGATACATTTCAAGATGAAAATTTATTAGGAATTATTTTGTAAATGCCATAAGTTATGAACAGTCTTGATGTATTGAATGTATTCAATAAATGCTTTAAGTCTAAATAATTGGTATAATTTCACAAAGATATATTTTTAATTTCAATGGTTAAGATCATGGGTCAGTTGAAGCTAGACCACCATAGAAAAACTGGGAGCACTGGACGGCCGTCTTGTCACACAATAGGAGTGGGATCGTAGATGAGCGCTACTGAATAGTTGCACACTATGACGAAATGCCCAGGTTTTCTATGGTGGTCTAGCTTCAATTAACTGATGAAATCAACTATTACAATACATTTTTCCTTAAAATGTAATGTTTACTATACAACAATTCATGAATTCATAGAAAAGTACTCCCTTATTTAACTAAGATTAGTTTATTCTATAAATAAAAATGTAACATGTAGTTTGATCTAGTAAATACATTTGATTTTGTTATCATTTCTGAAAGTGAACAATAATAAATGCATATGGCTGATGAAAGTATATGCAACCAGCAATGGAAGGAACTACTCTACTAAGTATGTCTTTTTTTCTAATATGGTGGGGGAGAAGATTTGTAGCTCAGATGGATGATTTTGACAGAGTTTTGTTCTCTGAGCTGAATAGTTTGGTCGTAGAGCTTTCATCGTTCAACATCAAGGTCTACAGGACAAGCTGTGAACCATATGTGGAGAAATTCAAACACTTCACTTCTACCTGAAGTTTTGTACTGATGATGTCGTTCAAAAGAATGATGAAAGCTCCACGATCAAACCACCCAGCTCAGAAAACAAAACTCCATCGAAATTTCTAATATGGTCTTTCTTTGAACAGAGATCCATTAAACAGTTGTCTATTCGGATTAGTCGATACAAGCATTGTGTATGTAGACTAATTGTGATTCGACATGATGAAATATCACATAAGTCTAATTAGACAAAGTAGATTTGTATTTTGTCTTAAGAATTTTTCTTTAGACATTAAAAATACTAGAAAATAAGCGAAGATGGATAGTAGATAGCAGTGGAATCCAGAACATACGTTTCGTCCAATTTGGGGTTTGTCAGTTGAATGCATCTGCATTTCAGAGTTGATATTCACTCTGGGACTCGAACTCAGTACCATTCGCTTCAAAAACCATTCCATTTAATTAATTACATATTGTAGTATAGGTGATGTACAACGTGAATTTAGTCAATAAAAATGACTGATGACAAGGTTCTTTTACACAAAACTACAAACAATTTCAATCTTCACTAATCTCATATTATTTCTATGAATCGTTGTATTTTTGTCTTACTCATTTAATTATTCGCCTTACAAATGAATTCAACTTAACTGTAAGCATATTTACGAGTTTACTATTACCCTATTTCTAATGGATGAATAGAGTTGACAAATTTATGATGCTGCACTTAAAAATTTTGTTTAGACATTTTTGTTAATACATAAAGTTTTGAGATGGTGGAGAAGATTTGTAGTTCAGGTAGATGATTTTGAAAGATTTTTTTGTGTTGATGATGTCGTTCAGAAGAACGATGAAATTCCCACGACCAAACCATCCAGCTCAGAGAACGAAACTTTATTATGAAACGTTTTCCTAAATATCACACACTACAATCAAAAACAACTTTCGAGTGGCCCCTGTTTTTCAAAAATACGGTAACTACTATTGACTGTTATTCAATCATCTGCAAAGTGAGACTATTATTACCAGTATCACTGAATATATATATACTAAATCTTAAGTCCTAAAACACAACAGGTCCATAGAGCGTATTAAATGTTATGGGTTCGATTCCTAGCCGGCTTCAGACTGTACATTCCTGAACAGTTGAACACTTGTATGACGTAAGTGTCTAGTATTACCTACTATCCTAATAGATATCAGTCCACGATAAAAAACCACATACATACAAGTGTTGAAACATGACACATGATCTCAACCATTGAAATTACTATAATATCCACAAAACCCCTTCTGATACTAATCAACATATGCTCGCTAGTGACTGGCTTCAAGAAGGTATTTCCTGGAGTTCGAGTGGGAAGCAGTGACCGATGCAGTTCAACTTCGTAGATTAGTTGAAGTTAGACATTAACACCATTGGATGCCAGCTGGTTCAGTGGTCTAGTGGTTAGGCGTTCTCACATGAGACTGCTAGGTCCTGGATTCGACTCTCGCGGGGGTAGACGGGATCGTGGATGCGCACTGCTGAGGAGCCGCACAATAGGGCGAAATGGCCATCCAGTTCTTCTTCTATGGTGGTCTAGCTTCAACTGACTCATGATCTCAACCATTGAAACAACAACAACAACAGAAGTCTATGACACATGGTAATTTATTCATCAAACAATTTTCTCCCTTTTAGATATTCTACATTCTTCCACTTCTCACCATTTAAAAAATAATAAGCTGACAGTTTGATAAACAAAATAATAATAATAGTTTTATCATTAGCTAATCATGTACACAAATTAATTGTGACATAAGTAAATTGTTTCTTTTTTCTTCCTATAGACTACTTCCTTTAAGCTGAATAGAATGAATAGCCAAGTTATATCTTCCTTATTGAATAGGTTTATTTATTTTTGTTTGGTTTCGGTTCCTGGAAAAAAGAGAAAAAAATTTTTCTCTCAGAAAACATGATGAAACCAGACACCTTCATACCTATACAAACATATACAAACATATATATATATATATACAGATAAATGGATAAATGATTTCTTCAAAAATCAATAATAACTAACCAATATTCCATGAAATATGATCTGATATGTTAGTTGGTTTCATCAATCAAGAATTGATTAAATAATATAGATAATTGACATTATCTAATAGAAACAATGAAAAGAATTAAGCATTCAATAACAGTCGTCCAATGCTTCCAGGTTTTCCATGATGGTCTAGCTTCGATTGACTTATGATCTCAACTATTGGAATTAATATAATATCCACAAAACCCCTTCTTATATTAAATGAGTTTTAAATTCATTTGATGTTGTTTACTTGTAATTTTACTTCATTGTAAAATCAGATAACTATTAGAGCTTAGTAAATGAGTGGAGAACGTGATAGTATTTCAAATGAATGATACTAAGTTTGAGTCGTAGAGTGAATATCAATTCTGAGATGTAGGTACATCTAGCTAACGAGTTCCAGAATAGGAGGAAATGCGTGTCCTGGATCCCACTACTAGCCACTATCCATCTCTGCTTATGATGCTTGTAAATTAAGGCAATGTCTGGGCGATACGCATAAGATGCACATATACCAATAAGAGACTGATCAATTTCAGTCCTAAACAATGATGGGAAGATACATGTAAAACAACACCAAGTGAATTTAAACTTCATTCCATTTCACAAGCAGGTAACTATTAGGACTTAGTAGCTGAGTGGAGAACGTGATTATATTTGAAGTGAAAGGTACTGGGTTTGAGTCCTAGAGTGAATATCAACTCCGAGATGCAGGTACATCCAGCTAACAAGTTTCAAAATAGGACGAAATGCTTGTTCTGGATTCCACTACTAACCACTATTCGCCTTTCATTAAAATAGTGTTTTTATCTTAGTATGGGGTAGTTCAACAATGCATAACTTTGATTATGTTAGTAATCGAATCTAAGACTTTGAGATCATCAAATCTGGTCATTATTTGTACACTATTGAGTTAGAATTATATAATCTATATTTCAAACTTGGATAATTTGTAATATGGCATGGCAAGTAAAATAGGTAGTAAGATTATAAATATACCATTTTTGAGGAGGTATCACCTAATACATGAACTATGTTCATTGATTTTCACTTATCGTCTCCAACTAATTAACATTTTAATGAATATATATTTCAGAATAATATGCCAATCTTTCAAGTAAATCTCGATTGGAAATCTCTTGATAGATTCAGATTGTGTAATAGTCATCAGCACCTAATAAAATGACAAGATTATTTACCTTCGATCATATTAGTAAGATATATACGAACGTTAATACGTCCCTAAGCATGAAAATTTCACTAATTATCTTTATGATTGAGATCATGAACTAATTGATGTTAGACCACCATTGAAAACCTGGAAGCACAGGACGGCCTTCTCGTACTATTGTGGGACTCCTCAACAGTGCGCACTCACGATCCCGCTGGCGGGATTCGAGCCCAGAACCTTCGGTCTCGCGCAAGAACGCTTAACCCACATAAGGATGAGACGGCTGTCTAGTGCTCTCAGGTTTTCAATGGTGGTCTAACATCAATCGATTCATGATCTAAATCAAGAACTTAATAATCTCCACAATCCAATACTGTTACTTTATTCAGTAATATAACTTACTCATTAATTACATTATTATGAAAGTATTCTTGATACTTGAGAGAAAAATGATACAATCATTGATTTTATAATTTCTTTTTAAAAATTCAAGATACTTTTTAATAGATTAATCTAACCGTAAAAACAAACAGGATTTCTGCTGATGACCTACTAAAGTTCCAGAGATGATAATTTTCAGTCGTTTGATCTTTTGACAAGAACTTATGTGTACGGTAGTTTCCAATGGTTTAATATCTGATGTCATTTCACGATATAAACTATCTTATAAAACTACTAGCTTTTTTGGGTGAGACTATAATTAATG